TGCCTGATAACTTGACTTCTGTTCCTGAAACCGCTATGGTGGAAGGAAAGAACTGATTCCCACAAGTTGTCCTCTGACCTCCACAAATGCACCACGTGTGCACACAAATAAATAAATGCAATTTTCTAAAATGTAAAAAGAGCCAAGTGTGGTGAAGCACACTTTAATCCTGGCACTCAGGAGGCAGAGGCAGGTGGGTCTCTGAGTTCAAGGCCAGCCTGGTCTACAGAGTGAGTCCAGGACAGCCAGGGCTAAATAGAGAAACTGTCTTGAAAAAAAAATTTTTTTAATAAATAAATAAAATCTAGTTTGAAAATAAAATAGACTCAGTTACTTAGGGAAAAAAGCAAGCATCACCTTCCTTGTCTCTGCATTTTACCTAACCCCCCCTACACACACACACTTTTTCTCTTACGGAAGTAAGTTACTTAGGAAACTGAGAGAGGCAAAACCAAGACGAATAAAATCATCAGTCTCCAGCAAACAAGATTAATCGGTGGACATTTTGGAAGACATTCATCCCGTCGTTTTCATTTGGTGTATATTTCTGTGGAGGTCAGCAGGTGTAGTTCTAAGAACTCTTTCAAACTTCTGCTCTCTTTTTCTCCTCGCAGCACCAATCCTGCTTCAGGGCTCTGTTTCTGCCAGGAACAGGAAACTACACTGGTTGAAGCTGGCTTTCAAGACTTCCAGCTCTTTGTACCTGCAGTTTGCACAGTGAGGTGTCTAAGTCCAAGAACCAACGTAATGGGTGTGTTTGGATGTTAACACACCAATTATTCCGAACACTGCTGTGCTGGAGTTCAGTTGATCTGCTGGGCAGGAGGCTCCTCAGGTTCAGATTTCCTTCGAAGCTATTCACAAGCATCTTATGTAACTGGCTCAAATGAGGTTAGGCAGGGTCAGTACCTGGATGTGTCTGTTGTGTATGTTTTAATGAGGGGCCTCTCACCAGCATCTGTCCGTTGGATGGAAACTAAGGCCTGGTGTGATGAGGTCATTTACTCTGCTGGCAGCAACAGGTATACATGATGGGAAAAAATCCTTTCCTCATTGTCAGGGAGGTCAATTCTTTTCTGAGGCTTTTCTGAGTACTCTGTTTAAACGAGGCACGAACCTCTGAGGTGCAGCGTATGCTTTTCTGATCACCTACTGTTACGGAACAAACCACCTAATACTTAGCAGCTGGAAGTAATTTACGTAATCTTTCACAGATCTGTGGGCCGGGACAAGCCCCTAACAGGCAGTCTTCCATTGAGTGGCAGTAGTCTGATTATGCCTACGACTGGAATCCTCTACGGGCTTGAAATGGCCAGTGTGGAAGGTCCAAGGGCCAGGGCAGCTTCTTCTTTTTGTTGTTTTAAAGTATAAAAAATTTATTCCATCTTATTTGGTGTGTGTATGTGTGCTCACTCGACTGTACAGTGTTTTCTTTTTGTTGTTGTTTTCTTTTGTTTTTCAAGACAGGGTTTCTTTGTGTAGCCTTGGCTGTCCTGGAACTCACTCTGTAGACCAGGCTGGCCTCGAACTCACAGTGATCGGCCTGCCTCTGCCTCCTCTGGTGCTGGGATTACAGGCGTGTGACACTGCGCCAGCTTGTATAGCATGCTTTCTTTAGAACAAGTGTAGAGGTCAGAGGTCAGAAGACAACTTGCAGGACCCCTCTGAGTCATCCTGTGTGTCTCATTTCTTCCTTCCCTTCCCTTTCCTCTTCCTTTTTTTTTTTTTTAATTTTTGTTTGTTTTCTGAGTCAAGTTCTCTCTGTGAAGGTCTGGCAGGCCAGGAACTTCCACAGACCAGGCTGTCCTCAATTTGGTGTTAACACTCCTGCCTCTTGATTGCTGGTGTCCACCTTCCAAGATGCTTTCTTCACTCACTGCATGTCTAGTTGTCATAGGCTCCCTGCTCAGCGTTTTGTCCTTCCTGGCTTCTCTTTCCCCCAAGTTAGTCAGACTTCTAACAAGGTGGCTGTCTTCTAAGAGTCTCCTTTCTCAGGCTTGGGCTGGGATGAGGCACGGTGCTGCTTCTGGACCCTTCAGCAAATAAGCCTCAAGGCCAGCCTTGACTCAACATGTGAAGGGTGGGGCGTGTGTAGCTTGCTATTAGGAGGGCTTGTCATTGGCTCTTACTTGCAGACTCAGCGTACTGGACCAAAGAGGATTTCAATTGTTACTCCAAAAGGGTCTGAAGATTTCCCAGCTCCAGCACAACAGAACCGAGAAAGCGACAGGAAGAGGAAGAAGCCTTGAAGCTTTGGAGGAGTTTGAATCAGCTGGTGCATTCCTCAGGCCTTGAAACGTGGTAGATTAGAGCCAGGGAAGGTAGAACAATGGGTCAGGGCATCACCAGTATCCGATCCTGGTGCCCTAGGAAGCCTTTTTTGATGACACTTCCTGGTCAACTCCGGATTGAGGTGCGGTATGTTCTGCCCATCCGAAGCACACGTGGAGGTCAGGCATGTCAAAGACAACAAGGAATTCAGACATCAGTGGCAATGTACAAGGATCGGCAGGATTTCAGACTAACTGGGGCCAATTTGGGGCGAGGATGAAACAGTAGGACTAGGGGTGTCATTGAATGATAAAGCACTTTGCCTAGAGCATGCTGAAGGCCCTGGGCTGGATCCCAGCAATACCCCCCCACGCCCCCCCCTTTAAAAAAAAAAAAAAAAGTGATGAGCCTGGCAGTAAATCAGCTCTCCTGACATCAGAACAGGAGGTGAAACCAGCAAACCTCTTCTCGGCTCCCCTGGTGCTGCTTCTAAACCAGCAGCACGGGAACTCCCATAGCAAAGGGGGTGCCATGACAGGGCAGGGAGGGAGCCTGGGCTTTCTGGTGAGGATAATTGTGTTTCTCCATCTGCAAGGATTGGGAGCCTCCGCGCCTTGGGTGGTCTGAAACTGGGGTTCCAGTCTCTTAAGCTGAACCGAGGAAGAGTTTCTCCTGTGATTAGATTGCTTTCTTTCTCTAACTTGTCTGGGCTCTTATCGCACAGCTCTCCTCCCTTTGAAAGAATGTACTCTGCAGTTGCCTGAAAGAATACATGCCCAGTAAAGTTATTTTGTGATGGTTATTTCATTCTACCTAAACTCCACGGTAATACTGCTTAACAAGGAAATGAAAACACTTTGTAAATTCCTTCGGGGCAGTAGCTGTGTCACATAGGACTTGGGCATGGTCCACCTCCCGGGCCCTTTTCAGAATTGGTAGTTTTAATGAGTAACCTGAATGGTTAACATTATACGCTTACCTCTTCCTTTGATGCAGAAATGTCTGTTATTTCACTATTATTATATTGCTCCCTCTTTTGTGTCAAGGTCTTTGTAAATAATTTCTCCCAAGCTTGTTTTCGTTGTGCAGATCATTTTGTAGGCTTTTCATCTAAGCAGATGAAAGGTTTAATTCAAGTTGGAGAAGCTTGCATCAATTACAGGTAATGAATTTAGGCTCCATGTATCTCAAGGAATATTTGAACATAAAGTTTACATAGAAATCCTGGGAGTGTCAAACTATGCAGCCAAGAGAAAGTAAGTCTGCAATTTTTTTTGAGAGTCAATCTGCTAGTCAGTGTACACACTCTGCCATTTTTTTTTAATGAAACAGTAAAATTACCAGCTTCAATTGTTTTTGAATAATCCGTAGGAGTTAAAAACTATAACTCACATTAAAGAGATTGTTAAAGCATAAATGAAACCACAAAACCCATGCTTTTAAAAGAATTTATGAACTCAAATTATGGTTTGTAAATTTTGGTGTTTTCTTTTCTTCTTTTTTCTTTCTGAGGCAGGGTTTCTCTGTGTAGCCTTGGCTGTCCTGGACTTGCTTTGTAGACCAGGCTAGCTTTGAACTCACAGAGACCTCTGCCTCCTGAGTGCTGGGATTACAGGCATGCACTAACATTCTGGCTCATTCTTGGTGTTTTCTATAGGCAATGATTTCTTTTTCCTCTTTGAGGCAGGGTCTCACAATGTTACCCTGGCTGAGAAGGAATTCATTATGTAAATTAGGCTGATTAAGCCGAATTGCCTTCCCGGGGATGGGTGTTGTGTAACAGTTTCCTCCAAAGACACACATCCTTAGGCAGGAAGGTAAACAACGCAAAATGGTTTCTGGAAGTCCCTGAAACTGACAGGATTCACTAGGCCCTCCCTGCCAGTGTCAATGGTATAAGCTGAACATCCGTGTCACGGGAAAGCTGTGAAGAAAACTGCCGATGGACCAGCTGTCTGGAGGCAACAGAAATCACCCGATCTTCCTGGAAGAGGCTTAGACCAACTGAGGCACCTGGAAAGGACCCTCCCACCCGGTGCCCTGTCTGCAGGCTGTACCGTAAACTCCAGGTTCCCAGCTTTGTGAGCTGTCACCCATGCTAGGGTGGGCTTTGGTGACACAACTGTCTTTTGGTTCATTTCAGTCCCTGAAAGTAACCCCTCAGCCATATTTCTGAGACTAATCTCAATAAAATCTATTGGTTCACCAAATTGGACTTTGGTGGTATCTGTGCTGTGGTCCGTTGTGGGCTCTCTGTCTGGGGTGAGTAGCCGTGTCATATAACACTGTGTGTGTGTAAAGGCTGGCACCATCACACCTAGGCAATGTGAGTAATGATTTTTACTTTTTGTTCCTGCTGTTGTTTGTTTTGTTTTCCCAGACTGGATTTCTCTGTGTAGCCCTGACTGTCCTGGAAGTCCCTCTCTAGACCAGGCTGGCCTTGAACTCAGAGATCCACCTGCTTCTACCTCCCAAGCGCTGGACTTAGGAGTTCACGTCTGACCTAGGGTTGTGATGGCTAACATTCTGTTGATGATTAACTATGCTTAAAAGTTTAAAATCTCTGTGCCTAAGAGAATTATACTGCAAAATTAGACCTTATTAATGATAAAGGCTATTAAGGGTTAAAATTTTCACTGCTATTTCTGCTTGTGTAAACAATCTTGTTTTGCAGGAGAGGACCTTCTGCTTTCAGCAGAACAAACTGCAACTTTGTATTCTTTACTTTTATAAACCTCTGGCTGAGGTGGCCCGGCGCTGCATTTGGGAATGGAGTCCCCGTAGGTGAACTCTAGGTATAGACTTAGTGCCAGGATTTGAATAAAAGCCTTTTTTGTTAATATTTATTAATGGCTAGACTGGTGAATCTCTAAACGAACCCGGAGATTTGGGTGTTCAGCCAAGTCCACCTTCTTTTTTTCTGGCTGGCCTTGGGACCCTGGAGGCTCCCGGACTGCTGGGAGCCACGGCATCAGATAGGTTCAGCATTTGGAGGGTCCCCCCACCCCCACCAACCGGTTCTCAGCTCCTAGACTGTGAGGAAAGAGGCATCAGAAAACCTCCAGAGGTCTAGGTAAGGACCCTGTTTGTAGTGTGTACTTGGGAGACTTGAACAAGGCCTAGACACTGCTGATGCCCAAATAGCTGGGTGGCCAACAGACTTGTCTGCTTTGTGTTGCTTAGGTTGTTTGTGTTTGTTTATCTCTAAGCTGTCTTCCTTCCAGCTTACGGTGTCCTCTCCCCCATCACTGGATTCAGTTTTACAGGGATTCGGGTGTCTTGGGTGCAGGTAATAGTGATTTGTAGTTTTACGCTGTTTTGCCTCCGTGAAAAGCTGCCTCTTGAGATGGGTTATGGCTCCTCTTCGTGTTTAAAGGTTTCTCCCAAATCTTAGTCCCATGTCAGGGGGTGGGGGCACCCAATTATGTGAGGACAGAGAAAGGCGAGCAAAGCAAGACAAAACTACTCATTTCATATTGTTTTTGGTTTTAGTTTAATGCTAAAGTTTTTTGCTAGAGTATGACTCTTACCTCAAAGTCTGTGAGACTATGTAAACTTTCTATACCTCAAGATTTGTAAGTTTATTGGGTATGGTTAAAGATCTGTAAAATCGGTGAACAAAAAGTTACCTTAAAACTTAAAGCATCTGAGCTTGAGGCTGCAACGGGAGTCCAGGATAGCCAAGGCTACACAGAGAAACCCTGTCTCCCAAAAAAAGCATCAGTGTCGAAGGTGAAATCTACACATAGGTAATCTTAATTTACTGCTGCGTACTGTATGAATAACTTGGAGTCAGCTCTTGTTGACTTTGAATTGGGATGGATTTTTGTTTGGTGATTCTTGTCCTGACAATATGAACAACAGATGAGGAAGAAGATCATAAAACAAGGTTTATTTTTTTAAAAGTTGGGAAACAACACTGAAAAGGCTATGATGATTAAAAACATAATTTTTAAAATCAGATTATGCTTTTTATTTTATATGTGTTTCGCCTGTGTGTATGCATGCGCACCACAGGTGCAGCGCAGTTAGAGATAGTTGTGAAATCCGTGAGTTGGTGGGAATTGAACCTGAGTCCCTCGTAAGAGCAGTGGTGCTCCTTCTACTGAACCAACTCTCCAGCCCCTAAAAACGTAATAATATTTTTCCCAATCAAGGCAACATAAATGAGGTTTTGTTTACTGTGTCCAGTAACTCTTTGCTCTTTTGCAAAATAAGGCTAATGGTCGGCTCTATCTCAGAATAATGTCATGGGTAAAACCAGAGTGTTTGTCTTTGCATGTTCTCAAAAATTCATTGGGTCTGCAAGCGTCCGTGGTTTGATATGTGCAAAGATTCTTCTAGTGTTTTGCCGATTCTAGTTTTCACTTTAGACAGAGGGCTGTAGCCAGATACATACCTGAGCTAATAAAAGACACCAGCTTAGGACCCAGAGGAACTAGACCTGAGAAATCCATTTAAAAGGGCCAAGATCAGAAAATCCTGCCATAAGCAGAAACAAGTAGGAAAGGCCCAGAAAGGAAGCTGTCTCAAACAAACAAAACAACAACAAACCCAAAAGCAAGACAGCCCAGAACTCTTGGCCTAGGGCTACTTGCTTCTGGCTGGATTTTGATGCCAAACTGATGGTCACTATGCCACACCCTTAGTTGGAGCTTCTGATTAAAAGTATGACTTTAAAAAACCAGCCGTGTTTTGATGTCATGAGATAGAATCTGGCCAGGGGTTTGGACAAACTGAGATGGAGAGATCTGTATTATTCCTAGATAAAAAATAACAGAGGCTATAGAAACAGACTAGGATGAAATGGGATTAAAAAAAATTAGAACTGTGGGGAAGGAGATGTGAAGCTAAGGAGTTAGGGCCACAGCTATATCTGACCTCTTTGTCTCTGCTGACTTTGTGAAGCTTTACCTATTTAGATAAACTGAGTCATGCAAAAAACTGTGATATTCTATACTGATGTAGTATAAAAGGGTCAGAAATTAAGATTCACAGTTTCTCTATACTGCATTTATGATTTGAAGTTTTATTTTGGTACTAAAGGAGCTTTGATTCAAGGATTATATTTTTTAAGGCTATAGTTAGGTCAATAGTCACCTTATAAATGCTCAGATTCTTCATCATGCTCAGAACTATGCTGGTAGTCAAGCCAAGAACAGATGGAATTCATCAACAGGGATAAGCTTTGTTTAACCTTCTTTACATGTTTTCAAAGTGAAGCCTAAAACAAGTAACTAGAAAACAAGTTTGTTTAAAGTCAGATGTACTTAATAGATAGCCTTAGAAGCTCCTCAGAGGTCTGCTGAATATGGCAATCAAACTGTTTAGTGAAAAGGGTTTCTTGCATTAGACCAAAAAGAAAAGCAATCCAGCTTCTAGGAGCAGCCCTAGGTTTTTCTCCAAAGGAAATGACCCCACCTGGATTGTGGTAACACTAACCAATGGGTGGAACCGCGCCAGGCCTTACCCATCTCCAGGGCCCCACTTGGACACTGGAGAATTGACTGCCCTCTCTGCCTCATCAAGGTGGGCCAGCCTTGCAAGTACCTCACCCACAGGAGAGTCCCTGGTATATTCTGTGTCTGGCAGCTGAAGGCAGCTGTCACCCCGTTAATGTTGTCCTGTGTGAGCACTGAGACTGAAGGCAGTCTGCATCCATGGAGATCGCCAAGACTGCAGAGGAGGAGCCTGTGGTAATTACCACTGAGGTAGTCCATAGATCTGTCGTTCTATTGATACAGTGGCCGTTTGGTTTATACTTTCTGCTCAGATTGATCCTTCTCAGATCTCTGATGGTGTTGACGGCCAGCTGTAGCTTTATCAGTTTAGCAGTAGCTGCCTGGTTAATGCATTTCATAGTAACACAGGCCTTGCCTTTCCTAGAGCTGTCAGGCCTCCTGTGAGAAAGGCAAACACACAGGTTTCTAAGCGATTTTGACTACTCTGTTTAAAGAACTTGCTTTGCATTGACTGCCCTCAGTAATCAACCCCTTGTGCCTTATGGAAATGACGGAATGGAAAAAGGCTTCAGGTTTATATAAGTTTTAAGAGTCTCGAGAAAATAATTTAAAAAAAATAATAATAAAACTTAGAGACGATTTATGACATTATGATTTCAAAGGTTCAGAGGTTTAACATTTTGATCAATGGAGTTCTGATAAGCTATCAATCTGGCACTGGAAAAGAACTGACTACTACTACAAGATCAAAGTTTAAAATTTCCTTTTCTTTAAGTGTAGACTAAAAGATGCTTCTTACTGTGCTAAGAACATAATATATATAATATTATATATATAAAGGGTATATATATATATATATATATATGTGTGTGTGTGTGTGTGTGTGTGTGTGTGTGTGTGTCCCCATCCATCCTTTGGACAGAGGAAAATGTGTTAATGCTTGTATCTCAAAATCATTTTTGGGAGGTTCCAAATCTTCTGAATCAAAGGTATGGGTTTGCTGTTGCTTTCTGCAGTGTGGATTTCTGTACAGATTACAAATAGTGGTAATGCTAATATATCTAAAACTTTTATCTTGTTTTGTACACTTAAAGTTCATGTACACTTTAGGGAGTTGAGACTTGGATTCACCTGTCACAGGTCAAATGGACTCCAGATAAGTCCCCCCTGTCAATCCACAGCTATGCTTCCCCTTCCTACTGCTTATTCCTGAGGGGAAGTTCTAAATGTACGGTTTTCCTTTAACTTTCCTAAACTTTAAAGTTCCTGAACTTTAACTTCCGTCCCTCGTCTATGTGTGTCCCAGCAGATTTCCACTTGGCTGACAGACACCATCCAGGAATCAGCTGTGGACTACAAACTGCTCCACACAGCTCCATACCCGGAGCTTGCTGAAAGCTGATGCATAAACCAGTCCAGCTAATGTGATTTCTCTCTGTCTCTTCAGCTGAATCAGCAAACCCTCTAGAGGCTCCTGAGAAATGACCCCCTCTGCTCAAATCCCCTACACCTGGGCCTTTGACTAGCATTTCAGCCTTCATAGACCTTGACAACAACTTCCTGATTTCAGCTGAGAAACAGTTTCAGAAGAGAGTACATGGCCCCTTATCCTCAGCAGAAGGTTGGAATGTTAGGTCTAAAGGAAACTGGGACCCCACTAAAAGGGGCATACCTTATCATTCTTATGACCCTGCTGCCGCCAGGCCAGGTGTGTCGCAGGGACGAGGACCCACCTGCAGATAAACCGCCTGTCACGAAGGCCTGAGGAAATCCGCTGAAGATAAGACTGACGTGGGCTGTCGACTAAAAATGTTTTGTCTTTTATGTTCCCTCCTGCTCTTTTATGGGGTATGTGTCTAGATGCCCCTTGAAGAGCAGATGCAAACTTGACATGAACGTCTCACATTTGGTGATTATGCCCCCGAATTTTGTATCGTAGTATTCCTATTTCCCCAGATGTTTGTGTGTGACGGTGTGGCGTGGAGAGAGTATTGTTTTTCCCAAGTCTTTCCAGCCCTCTGCAACAGAAAGAAAGGTATGCTTCCTCTCCTACCCCCCACTGTAAGTTTAGGATTGGCAGCAGCTGAAGCTGTTCGCCAGGAAACAGGCACGGTGATGGAGGTCAAATAACCCAGGGTTTATTTGCATTAGGAGAGTCTGTTGCACAAGTAGAACAGGTGGACTTGTCAGCTGAGGTCGTCTCACAGCGTGGTAGGGCACTGGGTCTGCTTTATGCAGAACAAGGAGGTTACAGTATGGCCTTATGCAAACCACTCAGGGACTATCAGGGATAAATTGGCCCAATTTTGAAAACACATCTCATAGAAAGTGAAAAGGCCCTACTAGGAGGAGGTAAATGGCTCCGGTTTTCTTTCTCAGGGTCTTCCTGGCCGATAACTCTGCTGTCTTCCAGCCCTTAGCTCTCCTGTTCCCTCCTGCTGATAGAGGTTGTCCCCAGCGCCATTAATGCCTTATTCCCGCTGAGGAGCTATTAGGCTGACGATAAGTCCCAGTATGAACAGGTACCTGCCACAAAGTCAGGGATTTCACTCAAGGGGGGAATATGATGAGTAATGTCATGTTGATGGCTAGCTTTATGTTTAAAAGTTTAAAATTTCTGTGCTTAAGTGAACTGTACAAAGCAAAATTAGAGCTCCAACTATTAAGGGCTGTTAGGGGTTAAATTTTTTACTGCTGTTTCTGCTTTTATAAACAAAAGCTTGTTTTGCAGGAGAGGACCTTCTGCTTGCGGGAGAAAATTGTAACTTGGTATTCTTTGTCTTTATAAACTCCTGCCTTAGTGGCTGGGCGCTGCCTTGGAGAATACCGAGTCCCAGGTGGAGATGGAGCGCTGGTTATCTGAATAAAGGTCTTCTTTGCTAAGTCTATTGATGGTCAGACTGGTGACTCTGGGTTTTCAACTATTACCCCATTAGTGAATATCCTTAGGCTTTTTTTTTTCTAGGCACAGATGAAATGTTTTATCAGTTGAATATTTTTCAGGGGCAGTTAGGGAAGTATGTTTGAGACTGGACATTGTAAAAACAGTCACCACCACCAACAGAACGTAGTGGCAGATCCTATAATACAGTGGTTCCCAAGCTGTGGGTCGCAACCCCAAGGGTCTCAGATATTCTCCATATTACATATCTACATTACGATTCATAGCAGTAAAGTCACAGTTAAGTAGCAGCAAGAGTAATTTTATGGTTGGGGTCACCACGACATGAGAAACTGTACTAAAGGGTCAGGGCCTGGCTAAGGTTGAGAACTACTACTATATAAGCCCGTGGGAGATGGAAACAGAAGGATTAAGAGTTCAAAGCCACTTGGGGCTTCAAGAGATCCTCTTTCAAAACTCCAAAATAAGAAAACTGAAGGGAGAGAGGAAACACCTATATCACGAGTACACGAAAAGGAATCCACACCGGCCAAGGGTGCTATTTGTGGTGTGCGCGCTTCGTGCCTGTTCTTGTGGGCGAAGGGACAGTGAGCCTGCGGGCAAAGGGCGGGGAGCCAAAGGCACGAGGGCGTTAGTGTGGGAGACGTGGCGAGCCTTGGAGTCAAGTGAGCACGAGTTAGCAGCGTGGACTCCTCTCCCGGGAGCAGAGCTGCCGGGCACCACCAACTGAGCGGCACCGAGGGCCAGGGAGCAGTTGGCCGCTAGCACAGTCCCGGCCCCCAGCTCGGAGCCCCAACCCCCGGGCTGGCGCCACAGTCAGCCGGTGGGGCGAGATAAAGCGGGCAAGGTTCTGCGCCTCCGAATCAGGGAGGGGCAGCTCCGATAGCAGCGCCCGGGTCGGGGCTCCCCGGGTGTTTGCTTCCAGAAAGTGCCAGAGCCCGAGAGACCTTCGGCAAACAGCTGCTAATCTCCAGCAGGGGAGCGCTGTCCTGGGGAGGCCCCGGGGAGCCGCGAGGGCCTCCTGCCCGCCGCACTGCGCTGGGGCGGAGCGGGTCGGCAGCGGAGGCCCAGGGGAACGCGGGAACTCCAGCCGGAAGCCCTCGGGCCCTCGCCCCGCCCCCAGGCTCCCGGTCCTCCCGCCCTTGCCCCGCCCCCTTGCCCCGTCCCAGCCCCTTGCCTCCTGCCTTAGCCCTTACTCCGCCCTTGAGCGCTCGTCCAGTCTCTAGGTCCTCGGTCCGCCCCCAGGGGCGGGGGCGGGGCGGGCTAAGGCCGCCTGCCGCTCGGGCAAGCGGGGTGTCTGCTGGTTCGCGGCAGCTCGGACGAGTTACCGCCGCCGCCGCAGCTCGGCAGCCAGGACAGCGTCGCCGTCGGGGAGCCCCAGCGCAGCGTCAGCCCTCAGCATGATGGACCTGGAGTTGCCACCGCCGGGACTGCAGCCCCAGCAGGTGCTGTCCCGGCCCTCGGGCCTCTCGCCTGGCCGGGAAGCGGGCAGGAGCTGGAGGGGACAGTGGCCCCGAGAGCGAGGGAGGGACCGTCCGAGCCGGGACTCTGGACGGAAGGACCTGGGAGCTGCCCCGCCGGGCCGGGAGGGGCAGCGACGACAGCGGGGACCGAGCCTCGGGCCCCCGGGGCGCCGGGGTTGGGGTGTGGAGGAAGCTCGGGCTTCGTGGGGACGGGCGGCCACGACCCCGCGCCGGCGGGTCGGGAGGAGCGGGTGGATGCTGGCGGTGTAAACCGGCGCCGCCCGGCCCTTTCCGGGGCTGCGTGGTTTCCCCGATTCGGTGCCCGTAAGAATGTGCCTCGTCACGGGGCCGCGCTCGGGGGAGCTGAGGTCTCCTCGGCCCCGGCGCCCTCCCCAGCCCCCCGGCCGTGACCCGGGGCGGGTGCCCGCGCCGGCTCTGGCTCTCCGCCTCCGAGAGCCCGGTCTGCGGGATCACGCCTGTCCGTCTTGCTCTAGAGAAACCCAGCCCTCCGGGGGCGGAGGGGAAAGTCACCGGGTGGCCCTCGTGCCCAGGCGCCCCGACGGGCGGCCGGGGCTCCTTGCGCTCCGTCCGCCCGGGGCGCCGGGGCTGGCCTCGGGTCCGGCGCGCGGACGGGCGTCCCCGGGCGGCGGGCTCCGAGGTCCGAGCGGTCCCCACGGGGGGCTGCGTGTCCCGAGCGCCGCGATTCGCGGGCTCCCCACGCTGCGTGCGTGGCCCCGGCCTCCGCTGGGTGACAACGGCCGGTTGGCAGTCACAGAGGCCCTCGGTTGGCCCTTTCCTGCTCTATAGCGTGCAAACCTCGCCGCTCTGGGGCCAAGGGACAAGTTGGAGCTGTTGATCTGTTGCGCAATTGTTATTTTCCCCTGGGCGGCTTTGTCTTTGGATTTACCATTACAGAGTTGCAATGCCAAAATGTGTAAGGCAGGATATTCTGTTCCTTGCCGTCAAGGGTAAGAGTTATAGATTAGAATTTCTTGCTTTTCATACTGTTGTTGAAGTTTTGCTTTTAGTATCCTGAATACATTTTCCTTTACTATTTGAGGGTTTTGTTGTTGTTGTTGTTGGTTTTTTTTGCCTCAGTTTCTTAGCATGTTGCGCACTTGTTTGAAGACAGTGGATGGGACGCTTGCATTTCATAACACTTTCTTGCTAAGTTTTGGAGATTGTTATGTAAGTGAAAACCAGTTTCTGGTCATACTTCAGGCAACTTTTAAAAAACTAATTTTTTTTACAGTGTCGTATTTGTTCTTAGAAAAAAAAAAAACAAAACATTTAACCCAGGGCAAGGTGTAACGTGGTGAACAGTGGGTTTATTTAAATGTGAAGTTTTAGGCTGACTCCGGGAAAGTCCTGTTGTGAGCTTTTAAGTTACTTACCACGCATTAATTCTACTCCCTCCCTTGAACTTGGCCCCAGAAATGATTGGGGTTGTAGCCTGGTTTTCATTAGGATGAATAAGTGAACTCTACTTTCTGATTTCTGCTCTTCATTAGTAATCAGAAGGAATGCTTGTCTGGCCACGGGATGCACGATACAAACAAACTTCGACTTTAAAGTTTTCTTCTCTTTTCTGAGCAGCGTAACAATTCATGTACAGAAATGGCAGGTGTACCACTTTCTCTCCCATGTGAAAGTTTTAGTTGTTTGCCGGGGATATTTCTAGTTATTTCCAACATTGATTTAAATACTTGAAGACTTTGAAAAAAGAACTAGAAGATATAATTCATCCTAAAATCATTATTGGATAGTGCAAAAGGGTTTGAACAAATGGTTAGAGAAGCCAGCCAGTTGTGTAGTTAATTGAAATAGGCTATGTTTTGTTGTTGTTGTTTGTGTTGTTTTTCTTAATACTCTTTTCTGTTTGAATTGTAAGCCACAGTCTGAGCCACTCATAAAACTTCCACGGGCCATGTTTGCAGCCTCTAAAAGTAGCAGGGACCTGAACCCAGGACTGTCAGAATCAGGAGCTTTATCAATTGAGCTATCCAGGCCGGCTTCAGGGTACGTTTTTTTAACTGCTCATAACAGGAGGTTCAGTGATTCTTCATCTCAAGTAGGGGAACCATCCATTACTCTTCCACTGGTGTCTTGGAAAGATAAAATACTTTTGAAGACAAGAGATGAAGTTGATCTTGAACGAGACATAAGAGATTGTATTTAAAAAGACAGAGGATGGACCTGTCCTCCAGAACGAAGGAAAACAACTTAAGAATAACCTGACTTTAAAGATAATGTGGAATGTCTCTGAGACATTTCTGAAACTACATGTAGGTGGATAAACACGTGACTACATCAGTCTCTGCCTTAAAAATAACGAGGGCCACTTTGAAATTCCATTTGTATTAACTGCGGTCCTTAAAAACAATACTGGGGAACCAAACCTCTTAGGATTAACAGGAAGAGTTGAAAGCCAGATATGTGTTCGTTCCTTCGTTCGTTCTTTCATTCCTTCCTTTCTTTCTTGGTGTTTTTGAAACAGGATTTCTTTGTGTAGCTGTGACTGCCCTGGACTCGCTTAGTAGACCAGGCTGGCCTTGAACTCATAGAAATATTCTTGCCTCTGCATCCTGAGTGCTGGGATTAAAGGTATGCACCAGCTCATGGTTTTTCTTAATATTTATTTTTATGTAGAATGAATTATGCTCAGCAAGCTGCAGGAGGAAGGAGCACTTGGTCAGTTACTATTTCTGGAAGTTTCCTCCCTTGTGATAAAGCATATTTAAAAGGTTTTCATAAATACACGCTTGAGGATGCAGGAAGAATTTGGGACATATTGCTAGATATTAGTTAAGTTAGCGGACACTCCTTTGCAAGTCAAACAATATAATTTCTCAGTAACCCCACAGGAAATATTTTTTATCTTCAGTTTCCAGGTTAGGAAGGAGGGATGCCAAGACTCCTGCAGGGTCACCCAGCTGTTGGAAGATAAAATTCAAACAACCTGACTCCAAGGGCTCTGAATCTTCATTTTCAAACTGAACTAAAGGGAGTTTGAAGCGGAGCCACAAAGCTTCACATTTAAGTGGGTAGATTCAGGGGAAAATAAAAACAGAAAACACAACAACAAAACAAAACTCATAGGAGAGGCTGGGATGATTGAGGTAGGGTCTGCCCCTTCTCCACGTAAAGGTCATTAACGACAATGTGGAAGGGAGCAGATCCTTTCAGTTACGGCAGGAGTGAGTGAACTGGCAATGCCTGGTGCCTGTGTCCTGTCCAGGAAGACAGAGGCCAGCCCAGGCGGCTTCCATTTGGAGAGGCAGGATGCTTTTGTCCTGTAGTAGTCGTTTTAAAAGCAGCATCTGAGAGTCTGCTTCACGTGACCATTTTCCTTTTTTCTAAATTAAATCTTTTAGCTGTGGGTGTCTTTGCTTTTGTTTGCAACCCATTCTCCTGTGTTTACTTTGGGGCGATGATCAAAATTATGCTCAGTAAGTAAGGCTATGTACAGGGTGGCCAATAGGGTTAAACAAGTTTGAGGGAAAGTGGATTTGGGGTTGTGG